CATTATTTTATTCTTCTTCTTAGAGTGCCGTCTCCCTACGGAGGTTGGCAATCATAATGGCTATTTTTATTTTAGAACTTGCTGCTCTAAACAAATCAATCGATCTGCATTGGTACCAATCACGTAGATTCAGTATTATCAGTCTCAAAATTTCATATTTTGGTCCCCTCATCACGTGGCCTAGGTATTCCAGTTTTCTGGTTTGTATAGTGGTGATTAGTTCTGTTTCTTTACCAACCCTCTCCAGTACTTCTTGATTTGTAATTCTATCAGTCCATGATATTTTCAATACTCTGCGGTATAACCAGAGTTCGAAGGCCTCGATTCTTTTTAAATTACATTTTTTTAATGTCCAAGTCTCAGCTCCATATAATAATATTGAAAATATATAACAGCGAATGGTACGTAGTCTGATCTCCAAATTTAGATTTTTGCACGTTAGGAGTGGCTTCATTCGTAAAAATGCTGATCTGGCAATCTCTATTCGTCTGTTTATTTCTACAGTATGATCATTGGTTTCATTGATCAAAGTTCCCAAATACTGATATTTTTCTACTTGTTCTATCACGTTACCATTTATTGTCAATAGGTGATGTATATTTTGTGGCCTTTTTGTAATCAGCATGTACTTCGTTTTTTTGGCGTTTATAGTAATTCCCATCTCAGCACTATTTATACTCAAGCTTTCGATAAGATATTGTAGATCCTCTATACTCGTTGCTATGATTATTTTATTATATACATGCAAAATGAATACTTTAATACTTTCTTAAGACACTGTAAATAACGGCTTTGAAATATTATTAAATACCTCGCTGAATGTCCATGAATTCTTTAAACAATTTCTTCTATTTTCTAATTTCTTTACTTCCATTTTTTTTATGATAACAAAATATACGAGAAAAAAAATAGAAATTTTAATAATGAGTGGGAAAATATTTCTTTTATATAGACAATAACGGAAAAGCATTGTGTGATTTTTGTAATTCTGCGGTCAAAAATTATAAACTAGCAATTAAAGACAACATTATAAAATCCATTATCCTCAGTTGTCGAATTAGTATCCACCAAATTCCAAAATAAGATCAAATAAATTTGCTTCTTTAAAATAAAACTTAAATAAACTTGTCAATTTTGACCACCTTAGCAATCAAGCTAGTATGTAATGTGGTTGAAGGCAATTTTGTGACTGCCTGGAATATTGCTCATACAGAACGCCCGTATTGAGAGGGAGAGATTATTAAAAAAAACTTGGAAGATGTATTTAAAGATTTAGAGATGTTTTTAGAAGTTTTTAGATGTATTTAAAGAAGTTAAGAATAATGTGAGATTACAAATTAAGGGGTTTGCATCGCAGCATTCCAACTTGTGTATTAAGAGAGAGGTTGTGACTCTTGAAGAAGGCCCCCATCCGATTGAAGGTGGATCTAGCTTTTCCGATGTGTGCTCTAATCTTATGGTTGTTGGTTCATTCTTTATTTATCATAGTGCCGTGGTAGTTGTAGTGCGTCACTCTTTCTACAGGGGATTGTTTGGAGTAGAGTTGACCTTCTGCTATCCTTTTCTTGCTAATTATCATAAGCTTTGTCTTCCTGAAGTTTATATTGAGTCCACATTGTTGACTGTAATAGGTGATTTTGTTGTAAAACATCGAGGTGCCACATAACACACCAAATTTTATTAAAGCAGTTTATAGAAAAAATAAACTTAGCATATTTGAGATTGGCTAAGAAGAATTTTTAAATTATGGAGATGTCCTAAAAAAATTTAGTGCTCAGAAAAAATGGAGAAAGGGATTTGGTACCGTGGATGCAAGTCAAACAAATAAAGTTTCAAAAATATCTTCCATAACAGTTTTTATATAAAACTAACTTTAATGGTGTGATTTTAAAACCGTGGATCTCAGAAGGGGATCCATGCGAAATCCAGATGAAGTCTTACATTTTCTAAGCATGTAAAACCTTTAAAACTTAAAAAAACTACCAATAACCAACTAAAGATATGATAATTTAATGCAGTTGTTGCCGTACAGTAGTGATCAACAAAAAAAACGTATGTTAAATAATTAAAACGTTCCTCAAAATAAGATGCTGATGACTATCCTGCTTTAGAGGAAGAAATACAGTGAAACTATAAATATTTTCCTACAGGAAGATATGTTATTTTTTAAATGCTTAAATAAACGAATTTTGCAAAATACTTATTTTATTCCAGGGCCAATCTACAAGAAAAATTATTATTTCATAAGTTTTATTGGGCCAAACTTCTTCAAAATTCAAACTTACTAAACATTTGACAACACAATATTTAGTAATAATAAAAATACTAATTTTATTTTACTTGAAATTTCGTTTTCAAGAACTATTTTAGCTAAATTCAAATTGACGTTTTACTTTTCATGAAACTTAAATTTTTTATCACTCAAAATAACGAAACTGGAGTTTGGCCCTTTTAATACTCAAGTTCAGATATGGTTGAATTGTTATTATAAATTTGGCAGATTAGGCTAATATTTTGTATTAGTTACACTTTTCATGATTTTGTGTAAGCGTGTTCGAAATAAGGGCATTATTTATTTATTTAAATATTTATACCCTCGAGGATCTACACTAAGCCCAACACTATTTTTAGTTGCAATTAACGATATCGAGAACAGTTTCCGAAACCCTGTTAAAGCAATCCTATATGCAGGTGACCTCGTAATCTATATTTCTCATAAGAATTTTAATATGGTTTCAAACATTATTCAACTTTCTATTAATTCCCTACAAGAATGGTCTAAAACAACAAATTTTAAATTTTCTGCGGTTTAAACCAAAGTAATGTGCATTTCTCGAAAATATCAAATGTTGCAAATCTTCCACAATTAATACTGTATGATCAAGCTAGAAACTTGATCATATAGCGTTAGAAAACATTGAGGAACTTAGATTTCTAGGTATAATTATTTTATTCAAAACTTACGTGGAACAAACACATCCAATTACTTAAAAAATCATGTTTACAGAACATAAATATTCTTAAAGTACTAGCAATTCATAACTGGGGCGCAGACACAACACAGCTACTAAATATTTACAAATCCTTAATCTGCAGTAAATAAGATTATGGATCAATTGTATATAATTCAGCTAAGGACTCAACGTTAAAAAAAAATAGATATTGTACAAAATACCGCACTGAGACTAGCTCTAGGAGCATACAGAACCAGTCCAGGTGAAAGTCTTTATGTCGAAAGAAATGAATCTCCACTTTCTATTAGAAGATTAGGTCTCAGTTTACAATACGCAAGCAAGCTATCAACTAATTCAAACAACCCAGCATACCCCTATGCTTTCTCCACATATTACTATTCTAACTACAACTAAAATCTTGATCTTTGATGATCATTTAGCAAAAGAATTAGCAACTTCACATTTCTGGATATTATGCATACCAATATTGATTATGCTTCCCCTTGGACCATACAAATTCCATATTGTAACACAGATCTGTTAACTTATACTAAGAACAATACTCCTTCATCTCTATTTCTCCAATATTTCTACAATATTAAAAATAAATATTCGTCCTGTCAACTAGTTTATACCGATGCATCAAAAACACCCGAATTGGAAACAGTCGGATCCGCCATTGTCACAGAGGATTCTGTGCTCAAGTTTCAAGTTCAATGTTCTGCTGAACTTTTTGCGATATCTAAGGCAGTACAATAAACTCTTAATAGATCTGAAGACTTGACAGTAATATTCACAGATTCCTTAAGTGCAATCCAGGGAATTCAGATAATATATCAGAATCATCCGATTTTAGAACAGATTAATAAAGACCTTGTGACTCTGCAAAATAATCATAAAGAACTACATATTGTATGGATACCATCTCATGTGGGGATACCATGAAATGGGATAGCTGATCAAATGGCCAACGAAGCTTGTAAAAAGGAGAGATCCAATAGAACTAACCAAACTCCTTACTCATATGAAAAAATGCATCAATGAGTACACAAAAAAATTGTGGTTACGAAGATGGCAACTCTTACCAAATAATAAATTGCGGCAAGCAAACCCAGATCTATCAGCGAAAACAACAATTTTAGTAAAGGGAAGGGACCAGGTTGTACTACATCGTATCCGAATAGGACATACCAGATTGACGCACGAACACCTATTAAGGAAGGAACCTCCTAGCTAGAATATGCTACGCCTGTGACACCAATATAACTGTAGGCCACATTGTTATAGACTGTCCATTATATCAAATGAAAAGACAAGCTACAGGACTACCAAGTGATATAAAGTGCGCTTTAGACAGTGCGGATTGTAACAAAATCATTAGGTTTTTAAAGAAAACGAAATTGTATAATCAATTAAATGATACTTCAAGAAAAACTCTAAATTATAATCAACTTTGTAAAAACTTTATAGTTTATATTTTATATTAATCATTATAGTATATTGTAGTCTATATTGTACCACCGCTAATAATCTTTTACGGTTGATAAGGTTATTCCCAATAAAAAAAATATTTATACGAATGTAACAAAAAATGTTTCTATAAGTAGTTCAAATAAAGAACTAGTAGCTAAATATAGTATTTTTTTTTTCAGAATTTAATTTCTGGGTTTTATACACGCAGTAGCAAATTTGTACAAATGCAAAATACTTATTTACCTAGTCCTTTTCCAGAAGATTTTTTTGTCTGTCAGATAAAATGATTTTGATGAAATATTCCCTAGTTTTTACCCCCTTCGGATACACCAGTGCTCATGGCCTGCTAATTTCCCAACTCATTCTTTTGTTATTACAAATCATATTCATAATTACAAAGCAAATAGCGCTGTGCGCCCTTTTAAACAAGGCCCCGCCCACCCGACTTTCCCGCCCAATACTTTCATACACACTCATCTCCGTCTACCAATCCGCAGGCCGCATCTCCTACCCAGAGATGCTGGAACGCCATTCTGTAGTGGACCCCAAACAGAATCTGAGTGAATCAAATTTAGTGTCTAAAAACCCCAACATTAGATAACAAGTGTTTTGGACCTAAGCTACTAAACGCGTAGAAATAAAATAAATATTCCAGTGACAAATATTATAGTTCAGTGAATAAAATAGACAAATAATTTCGATAAAAAAATATGTTATAGCGTGTTTACAAATTAAAAGAATGACAATGTTAATGATGGAACGTATTGTTACAAATACCAATCACAGTTCGCAAGAAGATAAAGAAAAGATGCATCAATCCGAGCAGCAGATTTTCCGAAGAAAGGCTAAAAGAAAAATTGACGACACCAGAGATGTCGAAATGTGCGAACATTCCGACGAAGAGGATTTAACCGTAGACGTTGAAAACGACGACACGCTATGTCCCGTCGATTTAACGCGAAGACAAGAAAACTTTGGTTCTTTCGATAATTTTCACAAGACTGACTCTAACAGTGACTTTTCCAGTTTTAAAGACGATAGAAAAAGCCCTAAAAGTGTTTGTAGTGATCATAGTAGATCTAGGAGTCCTAGAGACCAAAGTCCTTCGGTAGTGCCTATACAGAATAGACGTTTAGCTTTTTCCGTTGAAAATATTCTAGATCCTAATAAATTTACGGGTAGGCAGACTGTTTATAGTGACGGGTTTTGTTGTTGGAAACCTTTGGACGGGTCCAGATCGTCGCCTGATTACGAAGGCAGTGATGCAGGTAAGAAAATATCATTTATTTGTACGTAAGTTTATTACAAATTAACAGTTGAAAGGTAAAAGGTACATAAGCAACATTTGCTTTATAGATATTATTAATTGGCTTGATATTTAAGATAGGCATTAACAGGAATAGATCTTTGTCAATTTACGGAACTTAAGGAAAGAAGTTGTAGAATAAAGTTGCAAAGGGAGATGGTTGTAGAATTTTTTTGCCGAATATAATATAGATTTCTTTACAAACTCAGATCAGTAGACGGGATCAGTGAATACACATTAAAGGTTGAATTTCTGGTGGAGTAGTCATGAGTAGGTCTTACTTGAAAAACATGTGTTTGTTTACGAATTAAGCAAACAGTTTCTAGAATATATAAAGAGGAAATAGTTAAAATCCCGTGATTTTTGAAGTAGCTTCTGCAATGTGTTATTCTGCTGAGGCCAAAAGATACCGTATTACTCTTTTTTGTAATTTAATAATAACATTAGATTGGGTAGCTGATCTTATTATAGCAGGCTCAGGCTAGTTTCTTACTTAATAAATCGATATGAAGGGATCATTTAAGGTTACTGTCTAGAAAAATACCAAGGCATTTTACATAATCAACTATACTGATCTGGCTGGTATTAAGAAGCACGGCTTGAAGAGCTCCTTTATAAGATAAGGCTACTATTTTATCCACGTTAAAAGAGAGTACATTAGAGTCAGATCAGAATTTTTTTTTTAAGTAGATCAGAAGTTATAATTGCATGAAGAGTTGCAATATTAGAGTTCCTCCAGGTAATACTGGTATCATCAGCAAAAAGAAAAAATTTTCCATCGATTTTTAAGTTAGTAATGTCATTTATAAAGATAGGAATGAGTAGAGGTCCCAATGCTAAACCTTGTGGTACTCCACATACAATGCTTTTGTGACTAGAGTCAGTATCATTAGCTCTAACTAGTTGTTTCCCATTCATCAAGTAAGATTGGAACCAATTCAAAGAAATACCTCGAATTCCGTAGAAATTTATCAAAATCAAAAGCTTTGGCATAGTCGCAAAAAACAGTGACAGGGTAAAGATAGAGACCTTATAGAAAATATTATAGCATCGCTAGTACATTTATTAAATAAAAAACCTAAATGACTTTGTGATAAAATGTTGTTTTCAACTGGAAAGGACATAAGTCGGGCTTTTATAAGTCTCTCAATAATTTTGGATACGACCGGTAGTAAGGCAATAAGGTCTTTAGTTGAAGACATTCGATTTTTCATTCTACCTTTATGAAGACGAATAATAATGAATCACTTTAGGCACGCTAGAAATATGCCTTTTTTAAATGAATTGTTAATTAGTGAGACTAGACTTTCAACACATATTTTTTGGGAGATTTAAGAAAATTTTTATCAGTATATTTTATCATTTTTATCAAAATTTTTTAAAAATTTTTATCAAAACTACTTTTATTAAAATGAAATCATTTTTCTGCAACAACCATCTCAGTTTAGAACTAAGGCAAAGAATGGTTAAGTGCCATCTTTGGTCTGTACTTTTGTATAGTGCAGAAGTGTAAGCGCTAAAAGTATCGATCATGAATAAAATTGAAGCATTGGAAATGTGGGTTCATAGACGAATGCTGAAAATAGCAAGAAAAACTAATGAAGAAGTACTACGGAGCGTCAACAAAGACAGAGAAGTGCTAAAGACTGTTAAACATCGAAAAATGTTTTATGTGGGACATATAGTAAGGGGAAGTCGATATAAAATTTTACAACTGATCCTTAAAGGCAAAATAGAGGGCCGTAGAGGTGTGGGAAGAAAACAAGTTTCTTGGTTAAAAAACATTCGTGAATGGACTCAGATACCAAATGCAGGACAATTATTCCATATTGCAAAAGATCGAGAAGCCTTAGGAATAGTGATGGCCAACGTCGGATAAATCTGATATGGCATGCGAAGAAGAAGAATATCAGTAGTATAGAAAGATTTGCTTTTGATACTACTGATTATTAGGATCAGAAAAGATTTATCAACTGGTCTTATAAAGAATGAATTTGAAACCTTTTTTAAATTGACGAGATAGGAAATAGGATCTTGTTGTGATAAAATAGTTGATGTTATATTTTTACTCACAATAACGAAGTATTCATTTAGATTTTCAGGGTTTGAAATAAGAAATAAAAAAAATTAATCTGAAACAAATACTATTTTTTTTAATGTGTGTGTACCTGAAGCAAACGGACTCAGAAAGAAACAAAAGAGTTTACTTAAAAATTATTACGCTGATAGGAGAAACAGCTTGGTAGGCCAAATTTTTATAGAAAACAAATTTTCAATTAGCTATTAGCCTAGCGCATACAAATTTAAGTGACCATTGACCATATTGCTCATTGATTTTCGGTAAGCAGTAAGTTTCTTATTGTAGTGTGTATTGTTTTTATTTTTACTAATTTTAAATCTTTCTGCTAAGATTTCTGCTTCATTTTGTATTGTTCTAATTGCAGTAAGGACTCGTTTTATAATCGCATAAAAAAGATATTACTTGCCTTGAAAAAGTAGGGATAGTTTCCCTACCCTCCTAAAAATACATAAAACCAAGACAAATACTTACATTCAAAACTTAATTAATTTTATTTTATAAGAAACTAATAGGTTCATATAGTTTTGTGGCTCAAACTTATCTTCATCGTCATAAGAAACTGTCTCTGCAAATATTTGCGGTAAAGGCGATGGATTTTCACAAACTTTATTCTCGTTCTGTGAAGCTCTTCCTTTTCTGACAATATAATCAATAAATAAACTTTGAGATAATTTTTTATGTAGCTCATGATATCCTAACATGCAGTTCTGCAGTCCACGTAATTAAAGGTTAAATTAAGTTTATTGACATTTCAATCTCCACTTCGGAAATCGTTCTCAAAATACAAACATTAGTGATAATGTTTGTATTTTGAGAACGATTTCCGAAGTGGAAATTGAAACGTCAATAAACCTAATTTAACCTTTAATTCTGGCTTATTCCCAGTTAAATCGTAATTAATACATCCCTTGAGTAAGATGAAAATTTGGCGCTTAATTTTGTACCAGAAATTTTAGATTTTCTTATAACAAATTCATTCTTCTTAATTGGTCTTACAGTTAATTCGCATACATTAAAATGTTTTCCAATTACCGTAGATCCTTCTCCTTTTGGTATGCAATCCAAAATTGCAATTTTCGTTTCCAACCAGATGTTTGGCTTTGACTTTTTTTTCTCCATTGGGTCAAATAAAATTTTAAATAAAAATATTAAAAATAATTACACTTATAATTTTGAGATGGCTAAAACCTTTTCTAATGAAAAATAAAACTTTACGACAGTTACTTAAAACGTTTTAATCCGAAAACCGTACTACTTATGATACTGACGTCCTTAGGAAAAACACCGCACATGCAAAAATTATGAAAATCATTTATTTGGGCGCGAAAATTAGATCTAGAGAGTTTATATTACATGATTATTTAAAAAAAGTACTGTATTTACAATCCCAAATATATATTCTAAAAGAAAAACTAAACCTAGCATCTACGAAAACATTCGTGGATCTATGAAAGAACCTCGCAACTACAACATTACTTAGGTAAAGCGCGATTAGCGAAAGCAGTTGTCAGACAAAATGTGTTTCAATCGTCTAATCCTCTCTGCTCTAAAGAGGATGGACGTGTGAAGGCGTCTTGTAAAAGCAAAATATCTACTCTAAACCTTGATAGGCATATAGAAAGTTTTAATCCCAGTATATTTATCCCATTACAGCGGTGAATACGCCCTGTATCGTAGTTACCTGCCTAGTGATTATTTAGCAACCTATTCTCCTAATCAATGCTCGTATAAGGTTTATCGAAAGTATCTTAAAAATAAAAACATATCTTTTACAAATCTGGCCATGAAGATTGCGAACTGTGTGAAGCATTTCAACTACACAATAAAGAGCATAATTCTAAGAACTTGTCTCTAGCATGTAGTGAATATAACTGGAAAGAACATATTCAACGTACCAGAGATTCAAGAGAATTATACCGTTTGGATAGAAATGAACCAGATACATCAACAATCCTTAAAGTCTATGTTGACTTACAAAAAGTCATAATGTTACTAAGAATCAACATGTTTAAGAAAGCAATATTTACCCAAAAAATATCGACAATCAATTAATGCTTTGTACCCCTGGGTAAACAAATCAAAAAACTTGTGCATGCCTGTGGTACGACGGTATTACTGGACGGAGAAAAGAAGAAATAATTATCTCATATACCTAATGCTTTATTTTTACATTACAGGTATGTCGAACATTTTGTCCTTTGGGTTAACAACTGCTCAGGTCAAATTAAAAATTGGGATTTTTTTATATTTCCTTGTATTTATTTTAAATTCTGACGCTATATCTGCTCAAGATATTTATACCCACTTAGTATTTCGAACCAGGACACACCTTCATGTCCGCAGATCAGCTTCCACCGTCAGGTAAAACTATCTAAAAAAAACACAAGACAACCTACGATTTTAACGATTTTGTAACAGCTGTTGGAAATGCAAATTCAAAAAAGGTTACAATAAAAACAATTATACAGGTTTTTTTAAGTGGCAAGATTTCTGGTCACAACTAAAAATTAAAAAAATAGAGTCTCGTCCTTAATTGGCGAAAAAAGGAGAAATTGTTACCAACAGGGGATTATTTTCTCTAAAGTACAAGAGTTAATAAAGTTAACAAATAACTCCGATATTGTAATGAATTTTCTTCAAAACAATGTTTTAAATAAAAACCTTCCCAGCCCTCAGCATTTACATCTCCATATGGAGTATCAAAAAATAAAAAATAAACTCTTATGAAAAAACTCAAAACCATAATGCCTTAAAATAGTTTACAATTTTGGCAAAACCTTGAGGAAGATAAGGATTAATAAGATAATTTCTTTCTATATTTAATTTTTTCTGCTCTAGTTTTACTTAGCAATTCCTAATATTACCTACGATTTTTTCCCAAT